GAATTCGCTGATGACTAAAAACTATGCGACAGAATCAGTTCAATTTAAACTAGGACAAACATTGATTTAAAAAATTTGTCAACATTCAATGAGGGCAGATTCTAGTTTCTCTTCGTTGGCTTTAAATCCACGCACACGAAGTATCATATTATATCAGTTTGTGGTATATAAAAAAGTAAAAGAATTAGGTATTAGAAAGTGACCACTTGTCAACGTCTGATTGCAATTTCTCATTGTGTCGCAGTTCGTAAGTGATATTAAAAAGGTAATTAATATAGATACAGTACTATATTGTTACGAATCTTCTAATAATTACGAAATATGTATGAAATTTATTTTCAACTCGTTTCAAATGCAGGAAGTGATCGTTCAGAATAAGCAGTTTCAATGTAAGTAATAAGTCGCCGCGATGTACGCCAGTTCCTCCTCAGTGGTGTTAGGCGCGTTGGGCCATACTTACCGTTTCTATTTTGAATGTGCCGAGTTCAAATTCTTTGTGTCATTGTGCTCTTTCGTGTTATTTCAACGATGCTCTAACGGGCTTGTAGATCGTGTGGTTTGCGGTAGGCACAGTTAATTGGCAAGTTAAATATAATACATTATAATTTATATAAACAAACTAAAGTGCACTTTATTACGTGGCGTTAACGTAGATAATTATTTATCCATATCATTTTTAATCGTTACGATCATTAGTTTTCTTATCGTTCTTTATATCACACAATTAGAACTAATCGGTTTTCCCCGTTTATGTAAAACATTATAGTCATTGCGGGCCACACTTAGCCTTTCTAAAGTTAAATATTGCTTTTTCTGATATGTCTTCGTCAATCAGTTGAAATCAAACCGTAAAGTTGGAATAAGATTCTCATGGTTTTTGGATATTTTTTTTTTATAGGTAAGGGTGACAAACGAGCACACAGTACACCTGATGGTAAGTGGTTGCTGTGGCCCATAGACATCTACTTCTATTCTCGATTACGAAGCAAAATGCAGATGCGTTATTACCCGTGTGGACTAAGATGGAATAAATAGTTTCCTGTAAAAAAGGTCTCTGGTTCCCCACACTCACCATACGAATCACAGAAGCATTGATCAGTATAATTACAGGCATTCTATCTTAGTCCTCAGAGGTGACAACGCGTTTGTAGCCTTCTTTGTTTCACGTTGGCTATAGGTGGTGGCTCTACCACGTACTATTTGTACGTGGTAGAGCCATGCTGCAGCTATATTAGTAGTATAGTTGTAGCACGAATGGGTCGGCTCGACCGGGGAACGACCACGCTCTCACAGAATACCAGCGTAAAATAGCAGCTTAACACTGCTGTGTTTCGTATGGTGAGGGTAGAGAACCGGAGACCCTTTTTGCTGGAAAAGAGGCATTCCATCTTAGTCCTCACGGCTGACAGCGCATGTGCATTTTGATTTTTAATTGCAACCACTTACCATCAGGTGGACTGTGTGCTCGTTTGTCACCCTATCCTATAAAAAAAAAGTCCATGGATTGCAGTAGCCACTTACCATCAGGTGGACTCTAACTTCATTTGTCACTTCAGTTTTATAAAAAAAAACATCCTCAGAGGTCACTTCGGGGTATGACGAATTCTGTCGAACTGCTCGAGTAAACTTAAGCCCTCATGACGTAACCTTGTTTAGAGGTCGCGCGCGTTCTTTACAAATTATATTATTTTATACATATCTGAGTGCCGAGTTCTGTGTTAAGTAAATTGATGGAATATTCGATTATAGCAAATTTGACATTCGAATATTCAATTCAATTTATTTCGAATTGTTCGAATATTCGATGCAAGCTTGCAAGCAACTACAGCGATAGATACACCAACAAGTCTTCTGTCGAGGACTATAAAAGATCGAGGCACCCCGTGTTATTACTTTATAGGCTGTGATCTATGCCTGTGTTCAGCAGTGGACTTGCTGTAATGATGATGATGAAGACTGTCAATGCCAGAATTCGGCGAAAACCAATAAGGAAAAATATAGCGTTGAATTAAGATTGCTCCTAGGATTAATACACACACTTCCACATTAATATTTTAAATGCGATTTACTTCGTCTTTCATAATGCGTACGGAGCAAAGTAGAGGAATAAGATGACAACATTTATCTGTACGATACGGTATTAACATCAATGGCGAGTACATCACTTACAGTCCTTATGACAGAATCGCTGGAGGACCTAAGCACTGTGCTCTTTGACCTGTGTCTCCCAACGGATAGATCTTATGATGAACATGGACAAAAAAAGATCATGTGTAACATCCATGTCACACATATGCTGGTAGTTGTTGGGAGCACTATTCTCGAAGTTGTTAACGAGTATGTTTATCTGGGACAAATAGTCCTACTAGGTAAGTTCAACTTCGACCGAGAGGTCGATCGACGGATTCAACTCGGCTGGGTAACGTTCGGGAAATTACGACACATTTTCTCGTCAGGTAACCTCAAAACTTGAAAACGAGACTGTACAACTAGTGCGTGTTGCCAGTGATGACCTATGGATTTGAGACGTTGTCCTTCACTGCTGGCCGGATGAGGGAGCTCAAGGTCGCTCAGCGAGCTATCGAGAGGACTATGCTCGGGATTTCTCTGCGTGATAAACTTAGAAATGAGGAAATCCGCAGTAGATCCAGAGTGACCGACATAGCCCAACGGATTAGTAAGCTGATGTGGCAATGGGCCGGCCATACAGCTCGAAGAAACGACAACAGATGGGGAAAAAAGGTTCTCGAGTGACAGCCTCGTACCGGTAGGCGAAGTATAGTACCCCCCCCCCCCCCCACCCCACTAGATGGAGTGACGAGCTGGTAAGACATGCAGGAAGTCGATGGATGCAGATGGCTCGGGGCCGTGCTTTGTAGCATTCCTTGGGGGAGGCTTATGTTCAGCACTGAACTTGTGAAGGGCTGTAATGATGATAATGATGATTTATCAGTACACCCGATTGATTACAATGCGAGTGTCACAAGGCAAGAGTAAACAAGCTTTTGTTAAGCTAAGTCAGTGCGTTTTACCATCTCTGTCTCCATTATCACTTACCGACAGGTAAAAATAGAATTTCTTAGTTTTATCCTTTCGCACTTCTCTACATCCATCCGATTACGATGGTTAATAGTTGTGCAAGCTACCGCGAAGGCATCTGGAAATAACCGGCCAAGTGCGAGTCGAACTCGCGCATGAAGGGTTCCGTACCATCGTAAAACACGTTTCTAGTAGGGGTGCCCCATTTAATTTTTAGTTTATTTTATTGTTGTTATTGCGACAACAGAAATACACATTCTGTGAAAATTTCAACTACCTACCTATTACGGATCATGAGACAGACATCCTCCGCTGACAGACGGACGGACAGCGGAGGCTTGGTAATACGGTCCCGTTGGTTACAGAAGCTTCAGGTACGGAAAGGGAATTGAAACGTAGCTAACGCAGCTAGTTATTATTAAATTTCTTCCTGTGAAAGAAATGAGACTTTATCATACACATTTATAGTCAAAACATCAATAAATGGTACAAGTATTATTTTCTCATGAATACCATGTAAGGGAATTTCCGTTCAATAGAGCTTCCCTTCTATTATTGTTCTTTTTTAACCTGGATCCCTTTGTTGCTGTGTAAGGGGTACTTTGTTAGGGGGACTGAGGGCAGCTGACTACGTCACTCTAGGGTAGTGTAAAATGTTAGGAATGAGTAAGTTCATATCTTCGTAAATCAGTTATTTGCGAATAATCGCCGAATTGCGGCGAAAATTTCGCCGTGTAGTGACGGCGTAAAATAATCTACCTCATATCATGCCGTGGGTGTCGTAAGAGGCGACAGGGGGTAATGAAACAGGCGTTGGTAAAAACTGAAAAATGAACCCGTTGGCCTAGTCTAGCAACTATGACAATTGTGTACCCCCCCATTACTCAATTTATGCGGTAGGCCTATGTTCAGCAGTTAGTTTTAACGAATGAATTTTTTTTATAACAACAAAACATGTGTAATTGTTGTTACATACTTATTGTTATTTAAATTATATTTTTATAAAGAGTTAACATAACTATGAACATTCAAAATACTGAGCCGCTCCAAATAAGCTTAAAATGCTTGTGCTAGAAATGATTCAAGGCGGCAGTCGACTTGCGGATTTAAGTCTACGACTTTCCGAGTTTGTTTTGAGTAAGGCCGCGCACCCGTTTTGTTTAAGTTTCAAGATGCGTTGTACACCCCTAGGGACTTAGATGGAATGCATCAAAATCCACTTCAGATTATAATTTATACGATAAAACAGGAGTAACATGCTCCCGCCAAACCTCCTATTATTATATATTATAGATTATAAATTGTCGGCTCAATACCGCAACGGCTGTGACATTGTGGGACCGCGGTAATCCCTTAAATACCACACGGGACTGTATGGCTTGCAATTATTTATTCCTGGTCTGGATGTATTTTCCATGTGCAATTTACGTTTGTAAAATTTCTCCATTCGTTCTTAAACAATGTAAAGGCTAAATATAGGGGGTAAACACCACACAAAGCAGCTTCTGTAGTTGATTCAAAAACATAGCTTATCAAAGAAATAAATCCCTGATTTTGGAAGCTGTGTGAAAATTATGTAATGTTTTTTTTAGTTTTTGAATTCTGTTCTCCTGTTTTAAAAGATTTTTTCCCTTTTTAGTGGAACAGAATCTTGAGAGAGAAGAGACCATCAGTGGTTTACACGGGCTGTTGATCATATTTGTAAATATATTAAAATTATATCATGTAACAATTGTTTAAATATCACAAGAAACATTAAGTGAAATATTTGTTTCACTTAATGTTTCTTGTGATATTTATTTCTTTGATTTCTTATTGAAAACAATAATTGCTAATATAATGATATATTACTACATTAATGTTAAAATGTGATATTATCATCATCATAAATAAAAATATTTTTATTTGTTGCAACTCTGTAGCTTGTCAACAAAACATTGATTGTCAATTGTTGTTTGCAGATTGCGCAGAACGGGCTTGAGGTGCTGGCAGCACTGGCGGAGCGCATGGGACCAGAATTCTCAAACTTTGTGCCTACAGTCTTACCTCACATAATCGACAGGTGAGTTCTGTGCTGCATTAACTTTAAATTACAGTAGAGTTATGCTAGGTAGTGGCGGTGTAAGAATATCCACTACCCCATATTATTCCGTGGGTGGCAACTTTAATAGAAGATGGGCAGCAGCGTCTTCCCAACTTCGCCTCCCCAACGTGGCAACTATGTAAAATGTGCCTATGATGCCCAAAAATGCCTATGTGCAGCAATAGATTTTTGAATGATTTTTTTTACCTTTCATATGTTTGTTAGCCTCCTCCACTACAGCTCAAACAGTTCAGTGCGAAACATGGGCCTCTCATAGAAGGGGAATTGAATATAAAAGCTACGCTTGACAGACGGAATGACGATATAGCAGTACTGTCTCTTGTCATTGGTCTGGGTATTATATACCACTTAACACTGCTGGGAGTTTTGGCGGGAACTTGACCGGCGGCTGTTGGCTGCTCCTGTATTATTGTTTAAATAATGGTTTGAAGTGGACTTTGATATGTAAAAGTGGTGCGATTTTGTGTATTAAGTGTCTGCGCATGTGAACTATTAGTGGAAACTGTGAAACAAGTGCTCTGATGGTGATGTAATTCTCAAAATAAGGTGTCTGTTTACTTAGGCGCCTTGAGATACCATCGCCAACCGTCAGCTGTCTGCTGGCTCAAGTTGAATAGGAATTTGATCTCTTTTTAATAGTAAAATGCAGTAATTTGCTCAATCGACCTTTACTTGATCTCTAAATTTTACAACGACGACAGGTACAACATTTTTTAAACATACCTACACAGCTTACGGACTAATATTGGCATGAGAACTGCTAATATAATTTGACAGGCGCTTCAACATGCCCCCCGGCGTTGAAAGTCTACCTTTCAACCAGATTCTTCAGGTTCAGGAAGCGGACAAATTTTGCTAAATGATCGGCGAACTATACCAGTCGATGTTTTGATATCCGCCACCCTTGATACGCCGTCCGAGCCTGGATGGACTGCGACGATGCGACCCATCTTCCACTTTAATGGCGGTGAATTCTCCTCTTTTAGGAGTACCAGTGAATTTAACTTCAAAGAGCCTTTACAGGAACGCCATTTCATCCGCAGTTGAAGCTCTGATATATATTCCTTGCTCCATCTAGCCCAAAAATGTTGACGTAATTGTTCTATTCGTTGAAATCGGGTTAAAGAGCTTACGGAATGATCTTTATAGTCTGGTGTCGGCAAGGAAGTCAAGGGGCGTCCAATCAAAAAATGACCGGGCGTTAGTGGTAGCAAGTCTTCAGGATTCGTTGACAAAGGTGTGAGTGGTCTGGAGTTAAGTATAGCCTCAATTTGTATTAATGTGGTATTTAGTTCCTCGTAAGTCACATTACAATTGCCCAGCACTCACACCAGCCTCCGCAAGCCCAGCAAAATGGGGAGAATAAGGCGGTATGAAATGGAAATTAATTCCTTCATTTGCCATTACCTCAGATAAAGAATTACAATACGTCCTAATAAATTTTGAAATGTCATTGTATGCGCCTACAAAGGAGGTACCATTATCCGAATAAATATTAAGAGGTTTCCCTCTTCTAGACATAAATCTGCGCAAAGCTAATATGAAGGTATTGCTAGTTAAATCACCCACTAATTCAAGATGAATTGACTTAGTCGCGAAGCAAATAAAAATAGCTATATACACCTTTACAATTTTACAACCACGGCCATGGCGAGAAACAGATTGAATTGGTCCCGCATAGTCTAGTCCAATATTTTGAAATGGAAAACCAGAAAGGATGCGTTGGTGTGGTAGGTTGCCCATTATTGGAGAGATGGTTTTTCCTTTCATTCTATTACATCTTACACATTGTCGATAACAAGATCTGGCCAAATTACGACCTCTAATCGGCCAGTACATCTCTCTTATAGTGGCCAACATTAGCTGTGGTCCCGCGTGCATTAACCTTATGTGCTCATAATTGAAGAGCAATTTGGTAAAATAATGAGTGGACTGTATAAGTATGGGATGTTTTTTCTCATAACAGTAATCGGAATTTTCAAGACGCCCTCCAACACGCATTATTTTATTATCATCGAGAAATACATTAAATTTATGCAACGGACTTTTAGTGGGTAAACTTTTATTTTTAATTAACATGGTGTATTCCTCAAATGATTCACTCTGGGATATTCTTATAATAACATTGAGTGCGGTTTGCAACTCTTGATTGCTTAGAGGACCGTGAACGGATTGCTTTCTACAATTATTAATAAAACGCAGCACATAAGCAACGGTCCGATTTAATCTAGTATATTTAGAAAAGCGTTTAAATTCAATTAATTTATTCCCACCTAAATCTTCATTGTTGCTAGAATGAAGTATTCCGTGGAGGATAACATTTGACGATTTAATCTCAGGCAACTCGTGATTAATACTTAAGAAATTTGCAGGCCAGTGAGAGACCTCTTTCTTTAAAAATTCAGGTCCTGACCACCACTTACTCATGGATGAAATATCCTTACAACTCACACCGCGAGAAATATGATCGGCCGGATTACACTCTGTTGGGACATGCCTCCACTCGCAATTTCCAGTCTTCTCTAATATTTCAGCAACCCTATTTCTGACAAAGGGTTGTAGCTTGCTAGGTAACACCTTTAACCATCCTAACACGATGGACGAATCTGTCCAAAAGAAAGTGCGCTTAGCCTGTTGTCTCAGCGATGCTACAACCTTTTGGTAAAGGCGAGCTCCAACAAGTGCACCACAAAGTTCCAGTCTTGGGATTGTTATAGGTTTAAGCGGCGCGACACGACTTTTCGCCATCAATAATTGAATTAAAACCTCACCCTGATCATTAACACTACGCACATATAAACAGGCGCCATATGCTCGCTCAGAAGCGTCCGAGAAAATATGAAATTCAAACAAACTAGGCGAGTCACAAATAACACGACGTGGAATACGTAGAGTATTTAATTTAGGTAAATCGACTATTATCTCAGCCCACATCTTGCTGATTTCTGGCGTCAACTGCTCATCCCATGACAGCTTGAGCAGCCACAACTGTTGAAGAAGCATTTTCATCTTAATTACACAGGGAGATAGAAGTCCTAGTGGATCAAAAATCTGAGAAATCACAGATAACATATCACGCTTTGTTCTACCTGAGAATAGCCCTCCTATAGGGAAACAAAGTTGGTCAGTATGTGATTGCCAACCAAGGCCTAAAGTTTTAGTCGGTTCAAAGCCACCAATATTCAAATCAAGCGGAGAAATATCATTTTCACTAACCAGTTGAGATTCATTCGACTTCCACTTTCGCAAAACCATATGAGCTGATGCAAGTGTGGAAGTCACTTTACGGCGCAAATCTGTAACCTCGTTAATATCATCCCCTCCCGTTAGCAAGTCATCAACGTAAAAATCGTGAATGATCACTTGAGCAACCTTGTCATCGGTACACTCTAAGCCTAATTGTTGGAGGCACCTAGTTGCCAAAAAGGGAGCACTAGAGGTGCCGTAAGTCACGGTGTTAAGTTGATAAGCTTGAAGCTGTTCTGAAGGGTTATCACGCCAGACAATTTGTTGCAAATAGCGGTCATCGGGATGAATGACTATTTGCCGGTACATTTTCTCAACATCAGCTGTGAGAACGTATTTGTGTAGCCGAAAGCGTAAAAGAATGGACAAAAGGTCGTCCTGTACCACGGGACCTACCATCTGTATATTATTCAAGGAAACACCCGAAGAAGTCGGACTGCTAGCATTGAAAACGACTCTTAATTTAGTAGTAGTACTACTTTCCCGAAGCACACCGTGATGTGGTATAAAATGCATCTTACGTGGTAAATTATCATTCTCACATTTCTCCATATGACCCAGACTTTCATACTCTGACATAAATTCTTTATACATTTCATAGACCTGAGATTGACCTGCTAACCTGCGCTCTAGCGATAGTAAACACTTTTTAGCTCGTGGCCAAGAATCACCTAATACGTCAGGATTATGTTTTAAGGGTATCCTCACGCAAAATCGACCATTTGCCAGTCGCGTGGTGTTTTTTAAAAAGTGTTCTTCGCATAATTTTTCTTCGTTTGAATAAAGAGACGCAGGGCTTACCTCTTCGAGGTGCCAGAAGCGTACTAATTGTTTTTGTATATCTTCATCTAAATCTTTACTAGCCTCATCTTGAAATATTCTTGTAAAATTACATTTAATAAAGTTAACCCCTTTCTTTACATATCTATAATCTATCGGACCTGATACTAACCATCCTAAGCTAGTTTCACAAAGAATCGGCTGACCGTCCCCTAATTTTAATCTCTGCGTTCCTATTAAGTCCCAAAAGACATCAGCACCTATAAGCATGTCAACGGGAGCAGGTGAGTGAAAATTAGGATCTGCCAGAGAAATATTAGATGGAATTTTTAAGTTTGACAAATTAACATATCTAGTAGGTACATTTTGGGTTATTGATGGTAGGACAAAACAATGAAGATTACTAGAGAAGTTATCATTCAATGATTTTATCGATACCTTACAAATCTTCTTGATGTGTGCCGAAGCATTATTAATACCGACTACCGACTGATTTACATTTTGAGCGGGCAAACCTAGCCTTTGATATAACTCTTCAGTTATTAAACAAGCGTTACTGCCACTATCAAGAATAGCACGAGCAATATATGGACAACCATTCTTACCTATAACTTTAATTAATGCCGTCGATAACAATACGTCGCCTTGTTCACTACACGATGCAGTGCCTACCTTTGCGGATAATGACAGATGTGCGTTAGAATTGGATGACAACTGTGAGCCTGTCGAACTGTTTGTTTGTTCGAAATGACCTTGCATAACGGGCTTATTATTACCACTACTCGTGTTAGATGTATTAATATCTGTAATTAGTTTTGACTGGTAATCTGCGACGTGCACGAGAGTGTTATGCTTTCGGTGGCATATTTTGCATCCTGGCTTTTTGCAGTGATTTGCATAATGTCCTGAATTAAGACAATTGAAACATACTT